GGGGAGCCTGCTTCTCCCTCTGCCTGCCGCTCCCCCTGCTTGTGCTCTCTCTCTCTGACAAATAAATAAAATCTTTTAAAAAACAAAATAAAACTAATACAAACAAGGTCAATTTCCTTAATTGAGCTAGAATATTTTCTGACTAGATTGTAAGTTGGTGTTTCTCCTGTATCTTTCTGAAAGAGTAATGGCAGTTCAAACTAAAAAGTAGAACATTCTGCCTTTTCATCCCTGGGGGTTTTGTTTGTTTTTGTTTTTGAGTAAGGAAAAAAAAATGGAAAAGGAGGTAGATAGTAGATTATCTTTTGGTGAATTCAAGGGCCGTTCGGAAGTTTTCCTTGTTTTGACACTTAAATAAAGGCAGTCTGACTGAATTTTAGAAGCAAATGAGAACCATTGTTCTTCCTTTCCTTTCAATTACATCTTTTACTTTTTTTTTTTTATTAAAAAGGATTGAGAAGTTCTTCTCTGAAGGTTTTCAAATATGTATATAAATGGTAACAAAGGAAAGTAAGCAGCAGAGTCTCATAATCTTTTTCTAAACTCAAAAAATGGTGGGAAACAAGCTGCTTTGGAAATATATGAACAAATGAAGTGATCTGATTAAATTTAATGGAGGGGTCCTGAGAAAAACACAATTGGAACAAATGTTAAAATAATCAGACTCAAAGAGACTATTATAAAACTGTATATTAAATTATCTCTTGATCAGCTGGCCAGAGATTAAATGCTGAATCCCTCATCTCTACGCAACATTCAATGCTCAAGAGTTCTCAAAAATGGGGGGAAAAAGTCTCAAGAAACAAATCACAAGGCTTAATAGGTCCTTAGAAAATACATACAAACCACAAAAATTTCATGGTGTAGTATTTGGTAACTTTAAGGTAGTGTTACCCAGCAAGCAGAGTCAGATAAGATAAATTCTGGACCTGTAAGTTTGATAAAAAATTAGTCGATATAAACAGTTTATCTCTAAAATGGAAAATACTATAATATCTAGCACCTAGTATCCTCGAAAGACTGATATGAAAAATAAGTGCAAACAATGCAAAGTAAAAGTAAAGTATCTAGCAAAGCGTAGGATGAGTAAGAACATATGTGATTTCCTCCCTTCTCCCCCAGTGTCTCCAGTGAGTTGAAATATAGATAAATTCAAGAACTGTCAGGGTCATGTAGACAACCTATAGCTCAAAGAACTTTTGCACTGAAAGGGACCCAAGGAAGAACTGCCTCTAATTTCTCAATCAAGAGGATCATCCAAAAACAGGGCACTAGTCATTTGATATTAGATATTATGCTGAAGCTTCAACCTCCCTTTGCCCAGTCCAAGTCTTCTCTAGCTAAAACATTCTCAGTTTCTTTAGCCACATTTTGTATCACATGATTGGCACCCTCCTAATCAATGTGCTCACCCTCCTAGTGACAGTTTCCATTATTTTAATATCCTTCTGAAAATGTGGTGCTCCACTTCCCTTCCCACTCCTTTTTTATGAGGCAACCAAAAGGAGTCTTCCACTGTGATGCCTCTTTCATCTCCTCTAGACAATTAAACCAAATAGTTCTTTTTAAATTTTTTAAAGATGTATTTATTTATTTGGGAGAGAGAGAGAGAGATTCAGAGAGCGAGCATGAGCAGGAGGGGCAGAGGGAGAGAGAATCTTGAGCACACTCCACACTGAGCCCAACACAGGGCTCAATCTCACAACCCTGAGATCACGACCTGAGCTTAACGAAACCAAGAGTCGGACATTCAACCAACTGCCCCACCCAGGCACCGCTAAACCAAATATTTCTAAAGGCCACTCCTCATTCCATTATTTCAAAATTTATGGGATGACTCTGTGGTTAACTATAATTCCAGTTCTTTAATGACTTTTTAAATTTCAACTTGATTCCTCTTTAGCTTCTGAGTATCCAAAAAAATTTTTTATAGTCTCTTGTTATCAAATATACTATTCTATGTCAAAATTCTACTTTATTCAACAAATCTTAGAAAAGAGTATGCTTACTAACAGTATAAATCAATTTTTAAAAATAACAGCTTTCCCACCAACTTTGGCACTATTTGATTTATTTTTTCTAGGAGAATATGAGTCATTAGGACAAAGAAGAGGCCCTATTTTAAAGGAAAAGTCAAACCTTTTAAGATGCAAGCTTTACCAATATAATCATTAAGTTATGTTCATGAATGAGATGTTACTTTTATTTTCCCAAAGTGTTCCAATCCAAAGAATATGGACTATGAACATTCTTAACAGATTACAACATTTGAGAGCTTTCTCCTACATTGTTAGTATCTTCACATAGCTATCTTATTGAAATATTCAGGATTCCAATTATTTTTAAAAATTATTTTAAGGTAATCTAACTCAAATAATTTCTTCAAAGTAACACATAACTTTACCTTAAGAAAAGGAACTAGGTGAGGCTGAGGTGAAGACTTGAGTTCAACATACAGTTGTCTAGTAAATTCTTCAGCTTCAATTTTTCCATCCTGAGAACGGCAGAAAGAAAAATACTTTTAGGTTTACAAATACTTTAAAAGAGGAAAGGCGTGTAACTCATGACTGATGTAAGGAGGTAAAAGACCTACCTGTACTGTGAAAACTATAATTGAAGAGGACACAAATAAATGGAAGCATATACTGTGTTCATGCACTGGAAGAATTAATACTGTTCAAGTGTCTATACTACCCAAAGCAATCTACAGTTTCAGTGTGATCCTTATCAAAACACCACCGGGCGCCTGGGTGGCTCAGTCGTTGAGCATCTGCCTTCGGCTCAGGTCATGATCCCAGGGTCCTGGGATCGAGTCCCACATCGGGCTCCCTGCT